TTTTTGGATTGTTTGGAATAGTTTCAGAAGGAATGGTGCCATTTCCTCTTTGATGTCTGATAGAATTTGGCTTTGAACCCATCTGGTCCTGGGCTTTTTTTGGTTCGTAGGCTCTTAATTGCTGCCTCAACTTCAGCCCTTGTTATTTGTCTATTCAAGGTTTCAACTTTGTCCTGGTTTAGGCTTGGGAGGGTGCAAGTGTCCAGGAATTTATCCATTTTTTCCAGGTTTACTGGTTTATGTGCATAGAGTTGTTTGTAGTAATCTCAGATAGTAGTTTGTATTTCTATGGAATCTGTGGTGATACCCCCTTTTTCGTTTTTTATTGCATCTATTTGATTCTTCTCTCTTTTCTTTTTTAATAATCTGGCTAGTGGTCTGTCTATTTTGTCAATCTTTTCAAAAAACCAGCTCCTGGATTTATTGATTTTTTGAAGGATTTTTTGTGTCTCTATAACCTTCAGTTCTGCTCTGATCTTAGTTATTTTTTGTCTTCTGCTAGGTTTTGAGATTTTTTGATCTTGCTCCTCTAGCTCTTTCAATTGTGATGATAGGCTGTTGATTGTAGATCTTTCCTTGCTTCTCATGTGGTCTTTAATTGCTATAGATTTCCCTGTAGACACTGCTTTAAATCTGTCCCAGAGATTCTGGCACAGTGTGTCTTTGTTCTTGTTGGTTTCAAAGAACATCTTTATTTCTGCCTTCATTTCATTGTTTATCCAGTGGACATTCAGGAGCAGCTTGTTCAGTTTCCATGAAATTGTGGGGTTCTGAGTTAGCTTCTTAATTCTGAGTTCTAATTTGATTGCCCTGCAGTCTAAGAGACCATTTGTTATGATTTCCATTCTTTTGCATTGCTGAGGAGTGATTTACTTCCAATTATGTGGTCAATTTTATGGTAGGTGCAATGCAGTGCTGAGAAGAATGTATATTCTGTGGATTTGGGTTGGAGAGTTTTGTGGATATCTATTAGGTCTAATTAGTCCAGTTTTGAGTTCAAGTCCTGGACATCCTTGTTAATTTTCTGTCTCGTTGATCTGTCTAATATTAACAGTGGAGTGTTAAAGTTTCTCACTATTATTGTGTGGGAGTCTAAGTCTGTTTGTAGGTCGTTAAGAACTTGCTTATGTACCTGGGTGCTCTTGTATTGGGTGCATATATATTTAGGATCATTAGCTCTTCTTGATACATTAATCCATTTAGCATTATGTAATGCCCTTCTTTGTCTCTTTTGATCTTTGTTGTTTTAAAGTCCTTTTTATCAGAGACTAGGATTGCAACTCCTGCTTTTTTTTTTGCTCTCCATTTGCTTGATAAATCTTCTTCCATCCCTTTATTTTTATCCTATGTGTGTCCTTGCACATGAGATGGGTTTTCTAAATACAGCGCACTGATAGGTCTTGACTTTTTGTTCAATTTGCCAGTCTGTATATTTTGACTGGGGCCTTTAGCCCATTTACATTTAAGGTTAGTATTGTTATGTTTGAATTTGATCCTGCCATTTTGATGGTAGCTGGATGTTTTGCCTGTTAGTTGACACATTTTCTTCATTATATTGATGGTCTTTACCATTTGGTACATTTTTGGGGTGGATGATGATCAGCAGAGGCAGGCAGGACTTCAGACTTTCTGGGTCCAGGCTTGCATAGGGAGACCTGATAGGTGTGTCATAAATAGGTCTTGTTATTTTGAGATATATTCCATCAATACCTAGTCTATTGACAGTTTTTATCATGAAGGGTTGTTGAATTGTGTCAAAGGCCTTTTCTGAATCTATCGAGATAATCATGTGATTTTTATTATTGGTTCTGTTTATGTGATGGATTCCATTTATTGATTTGCATATATTGAACCAGCCTTGTATCCCAGGGATGAATCTGACTTGATTGTGGTGGATAAGCTTTCTAATATGCTGCTGGATTTTGTTTGCGAGTATTTTATTGAGGATTTTCACATTGATGTCATCATGGATATTAGTCTAAAATTTTCCTTTTTTGTTGGGTTTCTGCCTGTTTTGGTATCAGAACAATGCTGGCCTCAAAAATGAGTGAGGGAGGATTCCATCTTTTTCTGTTTGGAATAATATCAGAAGGAATGGTACCAGCTCTCTTTGTGCTTCTGGTAGAATTTGACTGTGAATCTGTCTGGCCCTAGAATTTTTTTGGTTGGTAGGTTGTTAATTGCCACCTCAATTTCAGAACTTATTGGCCTATTCAGGGATTTGACTTCTTCCTGGTTCAGTCTTGGGAGGGTGTATGTGTCCAGGAATTTATCCATTTCTTCTAGATTTTCTAGTTTATTTGCATAGTGGTGTTTATAGTATTCTCTGATGGTAGTTTGTATTTCTGTGGGATTGGTGGTGATATCCCCTTTATCATTTTTTTGTTGCATCTATTTGATTATTCTCTCTTTTCATATTTATTGGTCTGTTGGTCTAGATATTTTGTTGATCTTTTCAAAAAAATCAGCTCCTGGATTCATTGATTTTTTTGAAGGGCTTTTTGTGTCTCTGTCTCTTACTGTTCTGCTCTGATCTTAGTTATTTCTTGTCTTCTGCTAGCTTCTGAATTTGTTTTCTCTTGCTTCTCTAATTCTTTTAGTTGTGATGTTAGAGTGTCAATTTTAGATCTTTTTTGCTTTCCCTTGTGGGCATTTAGTGTATCAATTTCCCTCTACATACTGCTTTAAATATGTCTCAGAGATTCTGGTACATTGTGTCTTTGTTCTCATTGGATTCAAATACATCTTTATTTCTGCCTTCATTTCATTATTTACCCAGTAGTCATCCAGGAGCAGGTTGGGCAGTTTCTGTGTAGTTGTGCAGTTTTGAGTGAGTTTCTTAATTCTGAGTTTTAACTTGATTTCACTGTGGTCTGAGATGGTTTGTTACAATTTCCATTGTTTTGCACTTGCTGAGGAGTGTTTTACTTATAATTATGTGGTCATTTTTAGAATAGGTGCAATGTGGTGCTGAGAAGGATATATATTTTGTTGATTTTGAGTGGATAATTCTGTAGATGCCTGTTAGGTTTGCTTGGCCCAGAGCCGTGTTCAAGTCCTGAATATCCTTGTTAATTTTTTGTCTCTTTGATCTGTCTAATATTGACAGTGGGTGTTCAAGTCTCCCACTAATATTGTGTGGGAGTGTAAGTCTCTTTGTAGATCTCTAAGAACTTGCTTTACGTATATGGGTGCTCCTGTATTGGATGCATATATATTTAGGATAGTTAGCTCTTTTTGTTGCATTGATCTTTACCATTAGGTAATGCCTTTCTTTGTGTCTTTTGATCTTTGTTGGTTTAAAGTCTGTTTTATCAGAGACCAGGATTGCAAACTCTGCTTTTTTTTTTGCTTTTCATTTGCTTGATAAATATTACTCCATCCTTTTATTTTGAGCCTATGTGTGTCTTTGCATGTGAGATGGGTCTTCTGAACACAGCACACCAATGGGTCTTGACTCTATCCAATTTGTCAGTCTGTGCCTTTAATTGGGTCATTTAATTCATTTACTTTTAAGGTTAATATTGTTATATGTAAATTTGATCTTGTCATTATAATGCTAGCTGGTTATTTTGCCTGTTAGTTGATACAGTGTCTTCATAGTGTCGATGGTCTTTACAATTTGGTATGTTTTTACAATGGCTGGTACTGGTTGTTTCTGCCCATGTTTAGTGCCTCCTTCAGGAGTCCTTGTAAGGCAGGCCTGGTGGTGACAAAATCTCTCAGCATTTTCTTGCCTGTAAAGGATTTTATTTCTCCTTTGCTTATAAAGCTTAGCTTGGCTGAATATTTAATTCTGGGTTGGAAATTCTCTTCTTTAAGAATGTTGAATATTGGCCCTCACTCTATTCTGGCTTGTAGGGTTTCTGCTGAGAGATCCACTATTAGTCTGATGAGCTTCCTTTTGTGAGTTACCTGAACTTTATGGCTAATTTTTATATTAGTTCTCCATCTTGGAACCATAATTTAATCCACAGTATCTTTGATCATATCTGATAGTTCATCAGAATTAAAAATATGTTTGTGCATCTTTTACCACTTACCAGTAAGGGAGCACAGTGCTTATAGATATGCATTTCAAATTTTTGAAATAATACATATTGTATTTGTGATAGATAAATTTAATCCATTTATTAGGTAAGTTGAAAATAATTAACTTTTAGTGGAGCACATTAAGTAATAAAGACCTTAGCTGGTTCCGACTGGTATTTATGGGACTCTATCTAAGGCTCTTATGACACAGTAGATCCAATATTTAACTAAACATATAATGAGATGAAAGTTTTCAGTGAAGCCAGTGGTAATGAAAGTAATGAAAATATCAATGGAAACCCTTAAGCACTGCTCCCTTGTTGGCAAAATAAAAATTCTTTATTGCAGAAAAAGTTACTGAATTGTTATTGAAATAAAATTAAAGGATTGAATTATAGACTACTGATCAATATGGTTATATCTGATATAGGTTTGAGCCTCGATTGAGAGCCTGTATTTTAACCTAAGATTGCAGACCTTTGATTACCTATCATTCCAAGAATCAGAATTCAACTTATTTTCTTAGTCTCTGTGCCTGTGAGCCTCAGGGCTTCTTGGGTTGCTGTACTTTCTAGCAGGAAGGGTCAGGCCCTCCTCCTGGGAATATGCTCGGAGACGAGAACTTGGGGCTGGTTCCCCTTCATTCTGGCTTAAATATTACTTGCTTTACCTCAGTATTTCATAATGTGACACTCATAATATATTGTTCAATTTACTTCAGAATTTTTCTTTTCACATTATAGGCTTTTCACATTACCTGGCATTTAGCTACTCTTTCTTGGTGAGACACACATCTTTTTCCTCTAGGGATTTTAAGGGGAAAAAAAGTGTTCAGAGAGATTACCTCATTTGAATTTGTTCCAGATATTCTAATTAACCAATCTGTAATGACGCTACTGTGTCTTTCATTTAAAATACGGATGATTTAAAAGTCATATATTGTGTTTACAGGTAGAATATGTCTTCAGTTGGTATCGAGTCCTCTAGGTGTGATGTTTTATGTCATATCCTCCATTTCTTGTAAAAAGTTGTGAAACTTCTCAATTTACTGCGATGGCGGGAGATACAGGGGCATATTTTTAATAAGGAAAGAAGTGGACTTAGGTGTATGCTTTTTTATGATAATTGAATGAAAGATTGAAGAGTTTGGCTTCTGACTGTGAGTAAGCTCTGTCATTGGTTTTTCCATGAAGTTAAGTTTCAGCATTGTTTTTATTAGGTACAAAGTGTAATATCTGGGCACATGACAGTTATCATAAATCCTCTTCACACTAAAGTACTTATGGTTGCTCTGCCATAATTGAGGAAACTTTCATGTAACAAATTTCAATGTTGGTACGTTTTTGTTTACTTGTGTCACAAATAAGTGACTTGTCCTGGTTAATTTCCACTAATCAGATCAATTTGTACACAGTCATGCAAAAGTAGTGTCTTTGTTTTTCTGTGAAGAAATCTTCCAGCAGGTAAGAACATTTATTTCTAGATTATGGTGAAGCTTGTTTATATTTTGGTCATCTGCTTTGGATAGTGCCATACTTCTCTAATGACTGAGATAATGAGAAGGCTGTGTGGAACTGAGGAAAGTGTAGCCTCTAGGAACTATTTCTATATCCATGGATCAGCTACCCATTTCCATGTGTTTTATGATCACGTATACATGCCTAAGGTATCTACATGAATGTTTAGTGAAAGAAACATAGCTTTTCCGGACCATGATGTAAGTATTTAAAACCACTGACAAGCAACATTCATTGAAAATTCCTGTGACATGTTGAAATGTAGCTAATGTCTTAAATACTATGTGATTTTGTTGAATGAATTCTGATTGGGAAAGTTGAGCTGGCAAATATGAAAATCTTTCAGTATACACAACGTAGATTTGGTTTTAATATATAGCCTAATGGGGTTTCCTTTTCTATTTGCCAAACAAGAAGAAAAACATGTTCCACATTACGCATATAATAAACCAATTGATTGATAATCATATTTGTTTAAGGGATGTTATATTTTATGTGATTTATTAATAAAGATATATGATCACTTTGAGATATATTTGATTATGGAGTTTAAAACTGTAGATCATGTCAAGTGTATTAGAATGTGAAAGAATCAATACCTGTATGTTCTGGAAGCATAATATGGGTTTTTGCTTATAAATCTAAAAACAATCCCAGCAAACATACTAGAAATATTTATGTGCTCAGGAAAGTACCTAGTCTACTGTCATTTAAATAGATTTATAAAATTGTAACTGTGAAATATAATATTGTAGAGCTTTTTATGGGATTTTATCTTTAGAAAATATCATGTTCTTAAGAAATTATTTTAAATTATTTTTTTCTAGAAATATGTTAACTTAGCATTTTACATTGAAAGCCTAGTAAGGCTATCTTTCAGTTTTGAGAGTATTTCATATTTAATTACTGAAATTATAGAAGATAGTTTACATACCAAATTTTAAAAAACTGAACATTTAAATTGCCAAAAGAATTATTCTGTTGAAATCTAGTTTTGATGATGGAAGAGGGAAAAGGCAGTAAATCTTGTAGCAAGTAAGTTGTGAAAAAATAACAGAATTGGCTCTAGACTACACTATTCCCTTGTGTTCTTTGGCAGGTGTGTCTCAATCAATCCATAGCTTCAACATTGACAGAATTCTGGAATCAGCTGGAAGTGGTAATGTGAATGGGACATGTGGAAGTTTCATCACAGCTGGCTTTTAGAGACAGCTCAAACTCTCTCTGCACATGTCCTATTCCACTGCCAGATTTATGTAAATGAAACCATCCTGTCTACAGTTAAGGTTTAGTATTTCTGCAGTTTTCCTAAGCAGTGAGTAATCAGAAAGTTTGGGTTTATATCTCTACTTGTCTTATTGTTCTCTGTAATTTAAGTTTTTCCTTAACTGCCAGATCTAGAGACTTTAAGAAACAATGTGTTTATTTTTCTTTTATTATTATTTTTTAACAAGATCCTGTCTGCGTTTGTTATGGCCATCCTGAAAAGCCTCCTAAGTCACCCCAGGGACTCATAGGAGGTTGTACTTTCAGTACTTCTTTGCTAAAAGGAATCTCTCTGAAGAAGATTTTAAAAGAATACTGGCCTCACTTAATTATCTCATTAATCTCCTTATAGCTTGTGAATACTCAGTTATTAACTACAATTTGTCTGTTTTTGATTTTAGCCTTATTTTCATTTCTTGAGCTATCCCTGGTGGTAGGTCCAACTTTTTCACCATAATTCTGCTTGCTTCTCATCAAGATACATTTCATCACAGGTAAAATTACTACCCATATAATTAGATCATTATTTTCTAAGGCATACAATTTTATTTTGTGCCCCCAAAAGGCTTTCCTGAATTATAGATATCTCATCCTTTTTTTTTCCTGGAGTATGTCTATAAATATTTTTAAATTGACAAAGCTCTGCATGATTTGTTCTGATTCTATGTTCACAGTGACAGTCAAGAATACTACTAATGGCTATCATATATTGAGCCCTTCCCAGGTGACAGCCAGTATTCTAAGTACTTAACTTAGTTTTAATAAAATAACAACTCTAAGGGGTAAGGACTATTGGGATACCTATTCTAAAAATGATGATAGTAAGGGACAGAGAGGTTTAGTAAGTGACCCCAAATCTCATACAAAGTAGAGAAGCTGAAGTTGTAGCTGAAACAGTGTGGATCCAGTGTCCACATTATTCATCACATGCTACACTTTCTTTCTAAGGATGTCTTGGATCTTAAATAGGTACATACCGGGTGAGAACCTTATAGTCACTATTTACTCACTGTGATCATGAAATCCCCATGTCCCACTGACCACCATTTTTCATGTAAGAGTCATGAGCTTGGACATGTTTATTTAATTCTAAATTTATAAGAAATGAAAAAAATAGTCAGCAGAATACCATAAAGGAGAGGTGCACTGATAATTCTGTAGATAGTTGCTAAGAAAGGATTCTGAATTTCTCAAATTTAATCCCATTGTTTTCCAGCGAGCAAACTGAGATAGATTTGTAAATGCATTCAGAAATGACTCAAATCCATGCATTCTTACGCTAAACTTGGAATTTCTCTTAGAATTTAATTCTTTTTGAAATCTGGTAACTAAGATTCTATTTTTGAGCACTCTTGGTATCTAAATAGTGTTATAAACAAAACCATGTTCCACTGTTCTGTACCTCTTTCTGCAGTGTCTATTTGCTCCTCTCTCACCCCCTAGCTTATCCCAAGAATTCAGAAAAAAATACTCTTGGCACATTTGGTAGTTGGTGACAGTCATGAGTTAGTTCACTTGAATTCAAATTAATTGCTGAAAATTAGAATTTTTGTATGTAATTGTTGTAAAAATTGGAATATAGACAAGGATAAAATGGAGAGAATCACAGCTCTTAAGGTGGACAGAGAATCAGACCAAGCAATTGCTACAGGGAACAATGTAATAAATAATATCATAGCTATTTATACAGTTCAGAGTCCTGTATTTTGTCATTTAATGAAAGACTAATGAAGACTAAATATCCTTCCAGGCATGAAAGAATGAAGGTCTCACAGTAGAAGGCCAGAGTACTGAGTGAAATATTTCAGAAGATATTATTCTTGGTGCTACAGAGATCATATCATAAAGGTACCACAAATACAAATACAAAGGACTAAATCTATGTCAATTTATTTATTTAGAATTTATGTCCACCACCAGAGAGTAAGTTTCTTGAGACCAAGAACCCATTGCCTATTCATCATAGCTGACTTCTCTGCCATATTTTAAATAAGAAGTTATGAAATGCATAAAGGGGTGTTGGGACTTTAATACTTCTTCTGTATAAAATACTTACTAAACTTAGAGGTAGAAGCCTTTACCTGTGGCTAAAACTAAAATCTATGAGGAGAAACAGAATCATCAAGGGAAGACGGTCTCTTTGGATGAGAAACTCAATAGAGACTTACTTAATGTTTACTGTGTGTAAATGTCTATTCAGGATACAGTGAAGATGAGCTCTGTCACACAATGGATGTAATCATATTCATGCTCACTGTTTCATTACAGGTCCTGTTCTCCTGAGCTCTCATCTCTGATACAAGCCTGAAAGAAGAGTAAATGAGGCAGAAGAACAATATTACAGAATTTGTCCTCCTGGGCTTGTCTCAAGATCCTAATGTGCAACATGCTTTATTTGCCATATTTTTACTTGCATATATTGTAACAATGGTAGGCAACCTGCTCATTGTGGTGACTGTTATTGCCAGCCCTTCCTTGGGCTCCCCAATGTACTTCTTCCTTGCCTGTCTCTCATTTGTAGATGCCATATATTCCACCACAATTTCTCCCACATTGATCGTGGACTTACTCCGTGATAAAAAGACTATTTCCTTCACAGCTTGCATGGGCCAGCTATTTATAGACCATTTTTTTGGTGGTACTGAGATCAGCCTCCTGGTCGGGATGGCCTGTGATCGCTATATGGCCATCTGTAAGCCCCTGCACTATTTGACCATCATGAATCGACAGGTTTGCATCCTTATGTTGGTGCTGGCCATGATTGGAGGTTTGGTACATTCTGTGTTTCAAATTGTTGTTGTGTACAGTCTCCCTTTCTGTGGCCCTAATGTCATTGACCACTTTTACTGTGACATGTACCCATTATTGGAACTGACGTGCACTGACACCTACTTTATAGGCCTCACTGTGGTATTCAATGGTGGAGCAATCTGTATGATCATCTTTACCCTTCTTCTAATCTCCTATGGAGTCATCTTAAACTCCCTTAAAACTTACAGTCATGAAGGGAGGCATAAAGCCCTGTCTACCTGCAGCTCCCACATTGCCGTAGTTGTCTTGTTTTTTGTTCCCTGTATTTTCATATATGTTAGACCAGTTTCAAACTTTCCTGTTGATAAATTTATAACTGTGTTTTATACAGTTATCTCACCCATGATGAATCCTTTTATATACACGTTGAGAAATTCAGAGATGAGAAATGCTATAGAAAAACTCTTGTGTAAAAGTTAGCTACAGAAAATGAAACACCGCATATTCTCACTCATAGGCGGGTGATGAAAAATGAGAACACATGGACACAGAAAGGGGAGTACTAAACACTGGGGTCTATTGGGGGGAAAAGGGGAGGGCCAGTGGGAGGGGGAGGTGGGGAGGGATAGCCTGGGGAGAAATGCCAAATGTGGGCGAAGGGGAGAAGGAAAGCAAAGCACACTGCCATGTGTGTTCCTACGCAACTGTCTTGCATGCTCTGCTCATGTACCCCAAAACTTAAAATCCAATAAAAAATCAAAAAAAAAAGTTAGCTACAGTTAGAATAAAGCGTTCCTCCTCATGTAGATAAGGAGGTGTGTAGACAAAGTCTTCCAAGGGAAAATTTCAGACTTCTCAGGGTAATTCAAGGATCCCAAAATAGGATGACAGGATTGAGATGCTCCAAGCTCAATTAAGAAGTCATCCCATCACAGCATCTCTTAGAAGTTCAAGATCTCATCCTCTATATTCACTGAGAATGGATGGGGTTGCCTGAGTGGAGCTTTTATTATGCACATTTTAAATTATGTTTTTTCTCTATTATACATATAGTGAGACAGCGTATTTCTTCTATATGCCCAGCATAGAATGGGGAAAGGGAGGAATAGTAATTAAAATAGATGCTCCTGTTCAGACGGGAAGGCTATGCTGCTTCCTTCTGTGTAATTAAAGTCTTTGTGGAATATACAAACACCATATTCACAAAATTTTTGAACCTGGCCCTCCTCAGAGTTAAGGCGAAACTCTATGTGCATTCAGATAATACTCTTAAGAATCTTAGAATTATGTTTGTCTAGTTTAAAGTACTTATGAGACATACTGTGAAATTTTTCTGAAGTCTTTTCATAATGTCTTAACATCCACAAGTTTGAAATGATGTTTATTTTGATGACTTCTTATTTTTAGCATTCTTAGCTCTTTGCAGAGTCTGGAAAGCGACATTATTTTTATCTTTGCCACTACCAAGTTCTGCCTGTTTAATGTTTCTTGTAAATTCTGTCTGAAAATGTAACAATTTTTAAAGTATCTTTTAAAATCTGTCTTATAAGATACACTGCTATAAGCTGTAATAAATCAATGAATCTAGGAGCTGGTTTTTCCAAAAGATCAACAGAAATAGATAGGCTACCAGGCTAATAAAGAAGAAAAGAGAGAAGAGTAAATAGATGCAATAAAAAAATGATAAAAGGGATATCACCACAGAGCCCACAGAAATATAAACTACTGTCAGAGAATTCTATAAAGACCTCTGTGGAAATAAACTAGAAAATCTAGACAAAATGGATAGATTCCTGGACACACACACCCTCCCAAGACTGAACGAGGAAGAAGTCAAATATGTGAATTTACTAATAACAAGTTCTGAAATTGAGGCAGTAATTAATAGCCCACAAACCAAAAAAAGTCCAGGACAAGACAGATTCACAGCCAAATTCTACCAGAAGCACAAAGAGAGCTAATACCATTCCTTCTGAAACGATTCAAACAATAGAAAAAGAGGGAGTCCTCCTTAACTCATTTTATGAGGACAGCATCATCCTGATACCAAAAACTGGAAGAAACACAACAAAAAAAGAAAATTTTAGTCCAATATCCCCGATAAACATAGATGTGAAAATCCTCAGTAAAATACTCACAAACCAAATCCAGCAGCCTTTCCAAAAGCTTATCCACCACAATCAAGTCGGCTTCACCCCTGGATTCAAGGCTAGTTCAATATATACAAATCAATAAATGTAATCAATCACATAAACAGAACCAATGATAAAAACCACATGATTGTCTCAATAGATGCAGAGAAGACCTTTGACACAATTCAACAGCACTGCATGCTGAAAACTCTCAATAAATTAGGTATTGATGGAATGTATCTCATATGAAAACCTGCTGAAATTCTCCCTTGGAATAGTAGAACCTTGGTCCAAGAAGGTAAAATTAAGTTCTCTGAATGACCATATGTACAAGCAGCATAACCTTAAGTGCATAAGCATTTGGTTCTCAATCTCAGAGCAATGTCTGAATGTTTCCTGACTCCTGTGCTGTAACTTCACCATTTGGTCAGACAGACAAGCCTCTGATGAATGAATGACCAAGAAATCCAGCAACACAGAATGCTATTATGGAAGCCTTAATAGGATATAAGGCAAGATTAAAGTAGGTGCTGTTGTTCCCCCGCAAAACCTAGGTTTTTACTCTTTTAAAAAAAGTAGCAGAAAGCCTTTGTCTCAGGATTTTCAAGTGACAACTTGGATATATGGGATGAATGATGTATAATGATGGGAAGAATAATAACATATCCAAGTCAACCAAAACCAGTCATGTGGTAAAGTCTAAGGTGCTAGAACAAGAGCTGAAACACCGCTTTAAATAGTCTGAAAGAGTACTTGCCAGGGTCAAATAACAACAGAGCTTGTAGTGTTATTACAAAGGACCAATAGCCATAGCTCCTAGTGATGTCAAATGGGTTTTTCTTGATTATACTTTTAATTACACTTTAAGTGTAACTTAGCCTGTGATCCAAACCAGAAAAGAAAACACCATCATGCTATGGAAACCATACATGATCTACCAATTTGATTCTCTATATATCACTGAATCAAAGCACAAGTTTTCTCATGGCCAGTGGGCATAAATGAGCTAAGAAGTACATCACATAGGCAGGGCATGGTGGCTCATGCCTGTAATCCCAGCACTTTGAGAGGTGAGGGGGTAGGATCACCTGAGGTAAGAGGTTCGAGACCAGCCTGACCAACATGGCATAACCCCATCTCTACTAAAAATTCAAAAGTTAGCCAAGTGTGGTGGTGCATGCCTGTAATCCCAGCTTCTTGGGAGGCTGAGGCAGGAGAATTGCTTGAACTTGGGAGGCAGAGGTTGCAGTGAGCCAAGATTGTGCCACTACACTCCAGCCCGGGCAAGAATCTGTCTCGGAAAAAAAAAAAGAAGTATATCACATGGACATATTATACCCCTTACAACCCATGTAATACTGGCTTAATCAAAAGATGAATTTATATATGTAATAGCTAAAAGGAAAAATCCTGTCAGATGGGAAAGGGGCACAGAGATATGTGATAACACCTAGAATGCACACTATTATTCTTTACACATAACATTATCTTGTCTTCAGAGAATAAAATTCCTGTTTCTTTCATAGATGACATGAAGTCAGTTAATACTACGAAAGGAAAATGAACCCCTTTTCACTTGAATGGGAGAATTAAATTGAAGTTTTTTAATGCTCTAAGAATTGTATTATTTGTAGGAAAGATACAATGCAGTAAATTCTTTTGTTGATACAATTGCATGAGAACAAATTAGAACTATAAAAAGGTGAAGATGATAAATGATAAAGAAAGGAAAGAAATAGCCCATTTGGAAAACATCTAACTGTGCTATCATATAATCCCTAATTCTGCAATGTAGACATTAATGCTGAGACATGGACCTTCTTGAGTTTCAACAGAAAGCCGAAACCTTTACTACATCATTCTACTGTGGCAGAAATTGAACTTCAAACTCTTTTCCAACAGCCCTTGCACTGGCAAATTGCTGGAATTTCTTCTCACTCTTTCAATCTTTTTCCTATTTTATGCTGAGGGAGAGCTAAATGTAGTCTCAACCTGCCTTATGCAATTCAGTAATGAGCTCACTACTTGAGGGATGAGAAATGTCATAACCAGCAGATCTGTTTTATAAGAAATGCAAGAAAAAAAGTTCCTCAGGTTGAAAAAATCAATATTATATGAAAATCATAATTTATAGTAAAGAATTCAGAAAATAGATAATATAATGCATAGGGATTAAATAGAGATTATTTTCCTTTCTTTTCTTGTTTAAAAATTGTTCAAATAAAATTAATAACAATATATTCAGAAGTTAATAACATGCAGCAGTAAAATACAGAAAACAATTTCAAAGTGCGTGGGATGTTAAGTGGAATGACACTTTCAAAAGAGTTTTCATTTCTATTGAGATACAGTCCTGCCAACAGCCAGTTTGGATGTGGATCCTTCCTCAGCTGAGCCTTCATGTGAGACTGTAGCCCCAGCCAGATAATGATCACAGATTCATAAGAGACCCTGAAGCACTGAAACCAGCTAAGCCATCTTTAGTTTCCTGACCTATAGAAATTGAGAAATAATAAGTACATAGTGTTTTGAGCCTAAATTTTAGAGTCAGTTTTGTATGGAAATACGTAGCTCACATATCTAGAAAAATCTTCAAACATTTGGAAATTGGAAATAATGTTTTGATAACCTATGAATCAAAGTAAAAGTTATAATAGAAATAAGCAAATATTTAGAACTCAACACTAAATAAAACATATCAAAAATGAGATATAATTAAAATAGTACTGAGAGGGAAATTTATAGCTGTAAGTGTTATTTTAAAAATAAATGTTTAAGCATCCACCTGAGCTTTCACCTTAAGAAGAGTAAATTAAATCCAAGGTAAGTAAAAGACAGGACATAAGAAATATAAGATCAAAAATCAGGAATATGGGAAACATAAAATACAGAAAATCAAAATAGTCCAAAGTTGTTACCTTTATAATAAAATTCATAAACTTCTAGCAAGAATGATCAAAAAGAAAACAATTAGAAATTCAAATAGCCAGTATTAGACATTTAAAAAAATCATCTTAGAATAATAAATCCTTTAGACTTTAAAGGAATAGCAGAGGATTATTATTAAAAAACATTATTTTAATTAATTTGACAGCTTTGATAAAAGGGTAAAATGTAGGGAAAAAACAACCTTCTGAATATGACCCCAAAACAAATTGAAAAGCTAAATGCTCCTATATCCCTCCAAGCAATGAACTATTCTTGTTTGTATATAATGTGAGAGTGTCTCAAGAAATGCTAAGGAATCTACAGAGATGACAAGAAATACTTGGCAAATTTAGCACGTTTATAGAACTAAAATGCCAAATTGAAATTTCAGTTGCACTTATATATGCTAACAATAATAATCATTGAAATGTTTTAAATTAAAAACCCTTGAAAGCATCTGAACACATAAATACTTCAG